AATTAGCTTTAAATAAAACGTGACTTTTGTGAAATTTAACAATCTCGAAAGGACACTGAAAATATTACAAATGTATTCCGCAAGTACGGACATTTGAGAAATTTATACATATTTAACATAGGTTTCTGAAGTCGAAAAAGCTTTAGATTTTTGTGTTATTTGAACGAAATAAACGTCCTATTTCAAAAAATGCACCATTCAGAATTAGTCACGGTCAATTGAATTCCATTTTACGTGAGAAAATTATTGAACAATTCACTATGCCACATATACATAAAGACGAATTTCGTATTCATAAAGCAAGTCTCTGTTCGTCTTGTAGAAAAAGTGTACGTGGCATTGAATATCTCAAAATTTTTTATGAAGTATGTAAATCTGAAAGGAGAATCTTAGACAAAAAATTGGTGGAAGATTGTTTCGTTCGGATTTTCGATTTCTCAATTTTTCAACTTTAGATGTTTCAATTGTTCAACATTTCAATTTTCGGCTTTTTCGATTTTTCCATTCTTCAAATTTTCGCTTTTTCAATTTTTGTCCTCTTCAATTTTATGATTTCTAAATATTTCGATTTTTCAATTTTTCAAATTTTTTATATTTCTATATTTTGAGTTTTCCGATTGCTGAAATAATCTTTTTTTTTATTTGCCCATTTCCCGACTTCCTAAAGTTTCGATGTTTCACCTCTTTTGAAGCTTCAATTTTTCGCTTTTTTAAGCTTACGATTTTTCGACTTTGCTTTTTCAGTTTTTCGATTTCCCAATTTTCCAATTTTTTAATTTTTCAATTTTTTGGAAATTTGTTTCAGTTTTGGTATTTTTCAATATTTCGTTTTTTCGAATTTTCGAGTTTTGGACACCTGAACTTTTTGATTTCTCGATTTTTTACTTCTTGAATTTTCGATTTCTTGTTAATCTTTGGATTTTTCAATGTTTCGATTTTCCAATTTTTCTTTTTTCAAATTTTCCGATTTTTCAATTTTTTGATTGCTCGATTTATCAAATTCAAATGTTTTCATGTTTCATGATTCTCAATTCGCCAATTTTTCAATTTTTAACTTTTCTTCTCGGCTTTCGGCGCCTCTATTTCTCGATCCTATGATTTTTCGATTCCTCGATGTATGTGTTTGAATTTTTCCATGTTTCGATTTTTCAGTTTCTCAATTTTTTAAATTCTGGAGTTTCGATTTCTCGATTTGTTGATTTGTCAGTTTTTCGATTTTTAAATTTTAAATATTCGAATTTTTATTTTTTGATTTTTTGGTGTTTGGATTTCTCGATATTTCAATTTTGCGATATTTTAACTGTTCAATGTTTTAAATTTTAGATTTTTCGATTTCTGGATGTTTTGATTATTCTGTTCTTCAGTACATATTACTATTTTTCAGATTTTGACGTTGCTAAATTGTCAGTTTTCTGATTTCTCAATCAATCAATTTTTGATTTTCCCATTTCTCGACTTCTCCAAGTTTCTATTTTTCAGTCCTTCAATTCTTCGATTTTTCGACTTTGCTTTTTTGGTTTGTCGATTTCTCAATTTTCCAATTTTTGGATTTCTTTCAGTTTTGGGATTTTTCAATATTTCGTTTCTGCGACTTTTCGATCTTTCGACTTCTGGATTTTTCGATTTTTCAATTTTTTATTTTTTGGATTTTCAGTTTTTCATTGTTTAAACTCTAGATTTTTCAATTTCGACTTTTTTTATATTTTGATTTCTCAATTTTCCAACTTTTCGATATTTTAATTTTTCAATTTTTAAAATTCTAGATTTTTCGATTCCTCGAGTTTTCAGTTTTTCTATATTTTAATTTTTCAATTTTCCGAATTTTTCATTTCCGATTTTTCAATTTTTTGAAATCTCTATTTATGGAGATTCGAATGTTTCGATGTTTTGATTGTTCGATCTCTCGATTTATATTATATTTTTAACTTTTCGACTTCTCGACTTTTCGACTCCTCGATTTCTCGTTCTTTTGATGTTTCGATTTCTCGATGTCTCAGTTTTTTAATTTTTCGATGTTTCGATTTTTTGATTTTCGAATTTTTTTAATTATTGTCGAGTTTTGACTTTTCGATTTGTTAATTTGTCAGTTTTGCGATTTTTAAATTTTAGATTTTCGAATTTTCATTTTTTTGATTTTTTGATGTCTTGATTTTTCAATGTTTTAAATTTTAGATTTTTCGAGTTTTCAATTTTTCAGTTCTTCAATATTTTTTAATTTTTTATTTTTTGAATTTTCAGTTTTTCATTGTTTAAACTCTAGATTTATTCTGTATTTAAAATTTTCAATTTTCGGATATTTTAAATTTTCGATTTTCCTATTTTCGTTGTTTCGATTTTTCAATTATCCGATTGTTCAATTTCTCGATTATATAATTTTAATTTCCAATTTTTATTTTTTCGATTTTTTCATATTTGGATTTCTCGATTTTACAATTTTTCGATATTTGAATTTTTCAATTGCAGATTTTAGATATTTCGATTTCTCGATTTTAATATTTTTATTTTTCAATTTTTCGAGTTTTCAATTTTACCATCTTGGTTTTTCGATTTTTAAAATTTTTAATTCTTCGATAATTCAGTTTTTTATTTTTTTCAGTTTTTCGATCACTGAGAGCTATTACTAGAAGTAAAAGTAAAAAATAACTACCAATATTGTCATTTTGGTAGTTATTTTTATATATTAAAAATATGTAAAAATAATCGCACTTTCCCGAAGAAAAACTATTGCATGATTACGGTTCCGCTATTATTGCTAAATTAGGAAGTTTTGTTAGTATCAAAGAATTAATTCTTAGTTAAACAAAAAAATAGTTGCATGTCAAAATCGAGTGAAACATGTCAGATGTGATATATGTTTGTAAACAAAAGCATCTAAATAATAACTATTCCCCGCAGAAATTCTGAACGTTTAGAGTCGACATTGCCATGAGCGCGCTCCGGTCTGTAGATCAAATAAGTTCTCAGCGACGATATATTGTCAGCATTTGAAACACTAAACTAAATTCTAGATTAGGAGACATCAAATGCAGTTTTTCTTTCCCTTTCAAATGATTGATGACATCATCTCAAAAAAATGTATGAACTAGATTTGTATTAAAAATACATGCATGAAGTCTGGTCAAATATTGTTTTAGTTTCAAAACATTTTGAAAATCACAATCAATGCTTATTTTTTCTGATTTTGTTATTCAGCTTGAACTTTTAATAAACACTAAAATTGATGTCTCAAATAATTATTAAATAAGTTTGTATACAAAAATATGTCCGTCCCTGTAAATAAATAGGTACTTGATATTATTTTAGATTTAAATAATTTTTGAAAGAAAATCGATAAAATTTTGAGATGATGACATAGATTTTTTGGAGGGGATAAATAGATGTATTTTGATTAAAAATTTAACACGCTACATTTACAAAAATTTGTCGGTCAAAACTCAAGACGGATTCATAAACTACACGTATAGGACAACGTTTTTTTTTAAGACAATTTAAAACACATTTATTATGTGCAATTCTGACGTGACGTCATCAAATTGTTGGTGGGAATGATTAGCCAAATTTTGCTAAGCGTTTTACCGTCTACATGATACATACAATACAATGTACACACAAAATGTGACAATAATTGGTCCGATAATTTCGTCCACAAAACATAAACCCGATTGATAACATAACCTTTTCACACAGAGGGAAGTATTGTGTAAACCATTAATTCATTTTCCTAATGCCATTTTTTTCTGGAATTTTTAAGAAAAAATTCTAAAAATATGTATTACAACTTGTGACACTTATTTTTTAAATGATTTCAAAGCGCATCAAGCACACTTTATCACTGATCTTGCACTCGACTGCAGGATCCTTTGAGTATCATCAATATTTAAAAAGGCTTTCTCGTCCCCTCCGAAATTAATTCGCCGTAATTAAGTTAAAGTTACGGATAAATTAACATAACGACTCTTCCTTGGCAAAAATTTCAAAATTTATTCATGAGTCCGCGCAGAACTAAAAAAAACTCTGCTCAATGTCTCTTTCAGGGAATCTCCGCCTCTTGCTCCTTCGATATTCGATCCCGTGGACTGCGCATCTGGATGTTTTTAAAACCAGGCAACTTGGTCGTTTTTAAATTTTTCATGAAGTCGAAACGACCTTATAAATCAGTCGCCGAAATTAGAAATTACTACATGGGATTTTATGGGATCGGAGCTTATCAAATAACCTCCTCCGTGCGCTGGCATCCACGTAGGTATGCAAGACGGGGAGACATAATTATCGATTTTATCAATAAAAGAACAAACTTTGCGAAGGTGTATAGCGAAAAGTTAATTAAATAGCATGCCTTGAACAAAAAGTAAAATCTGCATAAAATGAGACGAACAAAAATGGAGTCGTAATCATGGAACAGTCGCAATTTCATTCGCTCCACGTGCGACATTTTAAATCCACGTGTCATTTCATACATCTCAAAGGCACATTATTGAAATAAACACATCACTCGCATACCTGGAACACATCATTATTCAGCGGTTTTCACTGTTTCGAGCGGCGCTGGCTCCTGTGGGGAGAACGTGTATTGATGATTGCCTACTACGTCACGTGGTTCGCATACTATACACGGTGTTTCAACACACCGGAGAAAACTAAAATTTAAAAATATGCAAACGAGGTAGGTCATGAAGGAAAACAGACACCCACAGATAGCGGAAAAACGGTGCAATTACTGGTAATTAAAATGCAAGAAAGTTGTCGTCATGTGTTTGCCAGATTTGACTCAGCAAGGATAAACAAGATAATTTACTAGGAAATTATGAAAAATGGAAACTAGAAGAACACAATCACATCTTCCGTATCTTTATGTAAACATATTTCTCCCCAGAGATAAACAAATCAACAGTGTTGTTCGTGTTCAATGGATTTTGCTTTCGGCCTTCAACTTTCGATAATAACAAAAATACCCAATAGTCGATTCCTTATCTCGAAGTATAAAGATAAAATAGGGAATGATTACATACGGTATTACTCTGTCTCATTCCGCAGATGCTGCTAGTGATGTCGTGAACTGTGCCAAATTTTAGCTTTAGTGCAGAAAAGGCTGAAGTTGAAGCTAATATAATCAGGTCAGTAGCGCTAAGTTGCTTTAATAAAAAAGGTCCAATAATATATGGCTTAAGTAGTATGACGCCATTTTTAAGGGTTCGAAAGTCCATTACGTATACACTTATCTTTTAGTACGCTTTTTGAATATAATAGCTCGTTGTGTTATTTAGAACAAAAATAAAAACAAAAAGATGTCAAAATTCGCGTAGATTTTGAAACTGTGTCACGAAAGTGTAAACATTTTTTAACACGTTGCCATAAATTTAATGACCAAATGTTTGATGTCCTGATTATGTTCCATTTTTTCTTAGGCTTTATCAGTGACAGTTTGATAATGAGTTGCTTATAAAACTTGTTTAAAATGTTATTCATGTAAGTTTATTAGGTCACAATTGCTTCCTGTTTGTTTTATCGGCAGTTTCTTTCACATAAAACTTTTATTTAGTCATTGTTGGTTCTTCACTGGAAACATCAATCATGGGTTAAACTGTACTAACAATTAATGGGTAATTAATTGTTAGTACAGCGCATTGAAATTAGTGCATATACTCAAATCAGTTTATATTTTTCTACAGAGTAAAATAATTTGCGAGGATGGTAGTAACCAATGTAACTAAGTACTACAGGATTTTCCGTTTAATATCTAATTTTTATCGTTTGACATTGGCTCGGTTTGCTTTGATCTCAAAGCGTTACCTTAATTTACTATTAATCTAGTAATTTTTGACATTAAAGTGTCACTTGTCACACCAAAATCTGTAGCTAAGTAAAGTGTACTTTTATCTTAAAATGTTTTCGTCAGATAAGCTATGGTCTACCTACACGTATTCGCGTACTTAAATTATTATCTAATATTTGTTTTCTACTCCGCATATTTATACTTTAAATTAATGTAGCGGATATTTAGTTTTTGACAGATTGTTATTTTTTCTTAGACTGTACAAATCAATTTGACGAAACTAGTGATAAACAATCAAGATAGAGACGTCAAAAGAAGCCACTAAATTTCGATAATGAAAATAATCTGATAGCTCGAAAATTATTAAATGAAAGTTGACAGTGCAGCCAACCTTATGGTGTTTTGACAGTGCAGATGTAAGAAAATAAAACAATTGGGTCGCCATTTTGTGGCGTAATCTTGTTTGGCGACACACATTGGACGAGTTATAGTTGCACTCGGCCATTTTGACCCCGTGCCAGGACACCGAATACGAAAACAAATAAGAACTGAAAAATTGTTGGCTGTTGGGAAAATTAATCGTCGTTTGAGCATTTCGTTCTAAAGCTTCAATGGCTTCATTTAAAGCATTTCGCATGTTGGTGTTGTTCAAACTGTTCTTGCAGCCAACTAAAGAGCAATTAGACATTTAGAACTTTTTAAAACACGAGAACTTATGGCGGATACATTTGTTAATTAAAAGCGAAACTATGTAAATATATTAGGTTACTTGCTTTGAGAACGAAGCGATAAAGTTTGAAATGAATGTTTGTAGTGTTATTATGAATGTATAAAATTACGGCTTGATGTGGTTTCCTATTCTTAGTTGTTTTTTGGTGCACATCTATCCAAGACACAAAAATTCGTATAATACAGGGAGCACTTTCGGTCGATCTCGCAAAGCGTAATCAAAGGAGAGTTATTTTATTGGGTTCCATGTCTCACATCTCGAGTTGGTCCCACGTCGCTATGACGTAATTTCTGTACCGTGAAAAATTCAAGTGCTAATATGTGTGATTTTCCCTACTTCCCTTCTTTTAACCGAAAATATCTACTATAATATTTATATTTCATCATCAATACCACAACTCACAATGCAACTAAATTATTAAAATGATGTCATCTAATTTCTGAGTCAAATTTTGGGAAAGAATATATAGACCAATTTTCATTAAGATTTTACCATATTCACGATATTCTTAATGTATTGTATAGTAGTCCAAAAGCTATAAGGGTATATGGCCCTCATAAAATAATCCCATTTTGTCGAAATTAAGTTGTTTACAACAGAAAAGGTTTTAGTGCCGTAAATAACGTGTCCACTGCAGTCGACCGGGTGTTGTCGTTTCGTTTAGGAGCGGCTTTCACTAAATATCTAAATCTAAGCAAAAAATGTTTAGAAGACGTTTTAGTGCTAACCGGTAACTTTAGTGCAAACCACACAAAAGGCGTATTTATTTGCGGTCAACTACTTTTATTATTGTAATATAGCTTATAGCCTTATAGCTTGGACTACTTTACAACATGGTATATTAGTATTTTTGTCCCTAAGATTATGTATTGAAAACGTTTCCAACAGCCGACAAATGTAACAGAAAACGTGCGTTTCCGTATTTTACGAGCTGTGGAATACTAGAAAACATGATATTATGCATTCACTTCACTTTACTTTGGAAAAATACATTGCCAGACAAAAAAATCCGGACACTTGACATTTTTGTAAAAAATAGCTTTATTGTAAAATCCATGTTTCCCAAAAGAAAAATTTTCAATTTTAATCGTTTTAAATATCTTGGCGTGAAAAGATCATTATTATTATTATTATTATTATTATTATTATTATTAGTTACGTTGGCCAACAGGTATTACAACCCAATTACAGACCAACGGGAAAAACTTTGGCTTCAGATGAAACAACTCTGTTAACAACAGCTAATATTACTGCAGTACCCATTGGGATACAGAGACACAGCGGATTTAGAAATACGCATACTATATAACCACATACCAAATTAAAGAAGTCTAAAGTAACTACCTAAAAATATCAAAATCATTCTGGTGAGTGTTGTACTGGGTGCACATTTCATAAATAGGTGAGTGTTTTGTGATATTTAGAAAAAAGGCAAAATTCAAGCCCCGCCTACCCACCGCCATCTCAGTTGTAATGATGTTATTCCTTATGAGCCCGGGGGAGGAGTTTAATCGCAAAATCCTTTTTTCTTTATAAGAACTTATCCTCTAAAACATGTTTTTAACTATGGTGTTGTATATATGTATTTAGAATAAAAAAAAAGAAAACCCCACCCACCCATCTCACTTGTGATGACTTTTTCACCATTTTGAGATAAAGGAGACTGTGTAACTCTCTCTCTCCTACTATGTCAACAATAATAAAAGATGTTTCACATGGTAACTTTTTCTACAGAAACATAGATTTTGCAATTAAGCTCCGCCCTCTTGGCTCACGACGAATAAAAAAAATCACTACAACTGAGATAGGGTGGTCGGGTGGGGCTTATACTTTCTTAATATATGTAGCCTTCTTTTCACAACAAGAAACTTAAAACATGTTTAAAACAGGAAATATGGATTTTGCAGTTTTTGCCTCTCTGTTTGACAACCAACAATCACTGTTTCACATGGTAATTCTTATACAAAAATATGGATTTTGTAATTTGGCTCACGATGGACAAAGAAAAATCGTTACAAATGAGATAGGGTGGGTGGGCGGGGTTTATTTATATTTTGCATTTTTTTTAATGTACATAGTTTTCCTTTACAACAAAAAACTGAAACATGCTTAAAATGGTAAATTTTATCCCCAACACTTCTCTAAAAATTTACCCTTTTAAACACGTTTTCAATTTATTGTCGTGAAAAGAAAACTATGTACTCATATTCGAAAAAGGAAGGCATAATACAAACCCCGCCCACCCGCCCCTTTCTCAATTGTGATAACTGTTTTTATTCGTCGTGACTCGAGAGGAGGAGCTTAATTGCAAAATGCTTATTTCTCTACAAGAAACTACCATGTGAAACATGTTTTTAAGCATCATGTTCTTGAAAGAAAACTATACAGCCTGTTATTGAAAGGTACGAACAAAATAAAATCGGCAATTGGTCTCGAAGTGTATGGGTGCTAAAAGTTAAAAAAAGTTCAGGTAAAAATGTTCTCATTTTACAGATAAAAATTATTAAAATTTATGTCCAAATTTGATAAATAGATCATCTTTCGTTTCTATAGCAACATTTAGTCTTGACAAAAGTTTTGTTGTTACAGTTGCTAGGATTTACAAAAATAAATTAATTTTACCTATTTATCCTTCAGCAGCGTCTGAAAAGGTTGGATAAGAGTTAATTTTCCCCTTATAATTTTGATAACACAAAATAAGTTTTTCCGACTTCTTGGACTTCGCGAAGAACCGTCTATTTTGTTGCACGTAGCTTTCAATAACACGCTGTATATGTCAAGAAGAAAGGAGACACAAATTAAGTCCCGCCCACCCACCCGAATCTCAAATGTGATGAATTTTTCATTCGTTGTCAGACCGAGTGGCGGAGCATAATTGTAAAATCGACGTTTCCCAAAACAAAAAATTTACCATTTCAAACGTTTTAAATATCTTTGTGTGAAAAGATCATTATATATATATCTAACAAAAAGGCAAAATTTAAGCCCTACCTACCCACCGCCATCTCAGTTGATGATGAGCCTGGGGGCGGACTTTAATTGCAAAATCCTTATTTCTGTACAAGAAATTATCGTCTAAAACATGTTTTTAAGTATGGTGTTGAAAGAAACCTGTATATATTTAGAATAAAAAAAAGGAAGCAAAAAGAAAGCCCCACCCACCCACCCTTATTTCAGTTGTGATGAATTTTTCATCAAAACATGTTTTACGTATTATCATATTGTTTAAAATAGATTATTTTGTGATAAAGGAGACTGTATAACCCTCTCTCCCCTACTACATCTGTCAACAATAACAAAAGATCTTTCAGATGGTAATTTTTTGCAGAGAAACGAAAATCCGCCCTCTTGGTTCATGACAAATAAAAAAAACATTACAACTGAAATAGGGTGGGGAGTGGGGCTTATACGTTGCCTTTTTTTCTTAATACATGTAGTCTTCTTTTCACAACAAGAAACGAGACATGTTTAAAACAGGAAATATGGATTTTGCAGTTACGCTCCGTCCCTCGGTCTGACAACGGATGGAAAATCCATCACGATTGAGATCCAGACGGATAGGTGGGGCTTATTTTTTAGGTTTTTTGTTTAATACATATAGTTTTCTTTGAGCAATACGATCACGTGGTAATTCTTGTAGACAAAGATTTTGTAATTAAGCTCCGCCTCCCTTGGCTCACGATGAACAAAGAAAAATCGTTACAAATGAAAAAATTGGTCTAAAGAGTTTAGACAGTACTTCCCTCGCTGTCGGAAACTTGACGACTGCATGCCTATTGTGTTTTTTTTTCTCATTACATTTTTGTAGTGGGAATTTAAAAAAAAATTGTGATGACGTCATCAACATTTTTGCAAGGACACGTATATCAGTTGAGATAGATGTAGTGTAATACTAAGAATAAAATTATTGTATTCCCAAATTTTCGGGAAAATGAATTGGGTCGTTTTGAATATTGATTTCTTATAATCAATAAAATAACGAAACAATTTACTCAGGTATACGGCGCCTTTTTTTGAACCACCTCTTAAGAAAATCTAAAAAATATGAATGGAATGATATATCACAAGTACAAACTCATCATATTTTTTGCATTTTAGATAGGATTTATTCAGCAAAATTTAAGGGTGACGTCATCAATTTTTTTAGGAGGGATGAACAAATACATTTTGAACAAAAGTTTACCATGCTTATAATAACTTTAAAATATTCCCAAGATTTCAAAGCATTCGGTTTTGTAATTCCTGATTAAATCGATAAAATAAATTCACGCCTTCATTAATTTTTTTGAGTCACCCTGCATATGCAAATCCAAAAATATGAATGGAATGATAAATCACAAGTACAGACTCATCATATTTTGTACAATTTAGATACGATTTATTCGGCAAACTTTTGAGCTGACGTCATCAGTTTTTTGTAGAAGATAACCAAATATATTTTGACTAAAAATTTATTATGCTCTTTATAACCTTGAAACATCTGCAAGATTTCAAAGCATTTGGTTTTGTAGTTCCTGATTAAATCAATAAAATAAATTTACGCATTCATTAATTTTTTTGAGTCACCCTGTATATGCAAATCGAAAAAATTTGAATGGAATGATAAATCACAAGAAGAGACTCACCATATTTTGTACATTTTAGATAGGATTTATTCAGCAAAATTTTGTGGTGGCGTCATAAATTTTTTAGGGGGGACGACCAAATACATTTTGATCAAAAATTTACCATGCTTATGATAATTTTAAAATATCTTCAAGATTTCGAAGCATTCGGTTTTGTAGTTCCTGAGTAAATCAGTAAAATAAATTTACGCTTTCATTTATTTTCTTGAATCACCCTGTATATGCAAATCCAAAAAATATGAATGGAGTGATAGATCACAAGTACAGACTGATCATATTTTGTACATTTTAGATATGATTTATTCGGCAAATTTTCGAGCTGACGTCATCAAGTTTTTGGAGGGGATAAGCAAATATATTTTGACTAAACATTTATTATGCTCTTTATAACCTTAAAACATCTTCAAGATGTCAGAGCATTCCGTTTTGTAGTTCCTGATTAAATCAATAAAATATATTTACGCATTCATTAATTTTTTTGAGTCACTCTGTATATGCAAATCCAAAAAATATGAATGGAATGATAAATGACAAGTACAGACTCATCATATTTTGTAGATTTTAGATATGATTTATTCGGCAAACTTTCGAGCTGACGTCATCAAGTTTTTGGAGGGGATAAGCAAATATATTTTGACTAAACATTTATTATGCTCTTTATGACCTTAAAACATCTGCAAGATTTCAGAGCATTCGGTTTTGTAGTTCCTGATTAAATCAATAAAATATATTTACGCATTCATTAATTTTTTTGAGTCACCCTGTATATGCAAATCCAAAAAATATGAATGGAGTGATAAATTACAAGTACAGACTCATCATATTTTGTACATTTTAGATATGATTTATTCCACAAACTTTTGAGCTGACGTCATCAAGTTTTTGGAGGGGATAAGCAAATATTTTTTGACTAAAAATTTATTATGCTCTTTATAGCCTTAAAACATCTGCAACATTTCAAAGCATTCTGGTTAGCAGATTAAAAATTAAATTTCAAAATGTTTTATAATTTTGATTTTTTTTCCAAAAATCTGGACGTTTCGGGTGAAAAGTCGATTCAGAGTTGTAAACTACATGTGTAGGACTATGTTATTTTATACAATTGAAAACCCATTTACTATGTACAATTTTGAAGTGACGTCATCACATTAGTGGTGGGGATGATTAGACAAATTTTGGTTAGCGTTTTACCATCTACATGATATTCTTAATATAAGTACAAAATTTCACAACAATCGGTCGAGTACTTTCGGAGATTATCTGTCTAATAAAAATCCGGGACGGCAGACGGACGGACAGACGGACAGACGGACAGACAGACGGAAATGGGAGACCTATTTCTTCGTCTTCTAGGGGTCATGAAAGATCGAGAAAACGTAAAAGTAGAGAGTCGACCGACGGACTCGATTACAATACTTCCTTTGCTTACGCTCGGGAAGTAAAAGTAAAAAAATGTATAACACTAAATATTATTTTGTCTGACAGTGTATTTGTTCGTAAAATAAACTTTGTTAAAATTTACTAAATTTATTCAAAATGTCTAACATATTCTAAAGAAAGTCGAATTCTTTTTTCCTATTTTCAAAAAGATTAATTAAACATTGAAACACTGAAACAATAGAGCCAAACAAACAGTGGCTTCTTTTTTCGATTTTTTTTGGTAAAAAATATTAGTTGTCAGATTTGAAGTTTCGAATTTTACATTTGTTCCGGAGTGGTACTCAAGACGAATTTGGGGCGTGGAATTATTCTTCAGAATCCACTTATGCTTATGAGTTCGACAATCAACCCCCAGTTCTCTTGTCACGCCACTGAATTCATTGCCACCTAACCTTAAACAAATCTGTCATAAGGTTGACAAACTTCACGACAAAAACAGGGAGTACCAACTCTCTCAATCAATTTTGATGACTCTGTACTGTTTAGTTTTTACGTATTGACAGAAATGTTTATAGTTTGTTTACTTGAAACAAAGTAGAGGTCAGGTCAGTTATGGCAGGTAATGTCAGGTCAGTTTCGGTTAGGTCAGGTTAGGTCAGGTCAAATGCATGGAAAAAACAAGCAATGCAGTCAGAAGTAGATGAATTCACGGAGGAAAAATTAGTGATACCCAGTCAAAAGATGAAAAGCAGGAAAACAGCAGGACTGGGTGACAACCATCCCCAAAGCCTTCAAAATACCGTTCCAAGAAATACCGAGGGTAGTTCAAAAGTAATGAATGATTTGCTGCGTAGACAACTTTTCCTCTAAGACAGGTGCTAGTCTAGTCTAGTAGGAAGCTTGTAAATATGCCAAATACCGGTCAGTTTTGGAAAAAAGGCACTATTATGAATAGCGAGTGTATTGTATCTAAAGCAAGTAGGAAAAGAAATAGAAGACTACAGATATTTAGGTAAAGAGAAAAAAGAAATCTAGAGGTGGAACTTGGTCATGATCTGGAAAAGGAAATCTTAATTGATATCATGCTGGAGAATGAAGAGAAATGGAAGAAGATAATGGAATAGATTTATTACGGAAATAATGAAAAATAGTGAGAGACTAGAAACAGGAGCAAAAGATATCTCACGAAATTGCACTATATGAAGAAATCAAATGCCATCCTGAAGAAATGTCAAAATAAGGGCACCAAGGTGGGAAAACATTCCACAGGAGAGGTTTTAACCGATGGAAGTCCGGCAATACCCGGAGCATACGACCAAAGCTCCGGGTGCCCATGATGGGCTTCCCCTCACAAAAAGTCAGTACCTGACCTAATCAAGTGCTAAGCGAAAAATCTTTCAGCTATAAAATATGCAAATTAATTATTTTATTTATTTATTACTCTGTTTTAAAAATAATAGTCTTATAAATACGCTCTTTCTTCAACAGTAAAACCACTTTTAACTTTCTTGAACGGTATACTAAATCTCAGTCTAAGCAAAATTGCACAAATACAAAAACCGTCGATTATTTTTTTTAAATTGAAATTGTTGACAAATGGTTGCTTTTAGAAAAGAGGGAGCAGTGGGAGAAGCTGTGACGTCTCCTTTATCTAAAACTAGAGTACTTGATACGAACTATTATCAAAAGTGAGGACACACTTTCCGCTGTGACTTGTGTAACTTTTTCGCCGTTAAAACAATTGACCTTGACGACTGACAGTTTTTATACGGGGTAATACAAGCAATTTGTTGCTATATATGTACAAGTTAAATAGAGGGATGACCGTCAGTGAGTAGCTCGGGGCATTTATCTCGTCACGGTTGGAGTGGAATTGCGGCTGACTGTGTAATCCGCTCGTCGTACAAGTAATTGCATCGCTGGGAGGATACTAGTGGAGAGCCCCAATTAATAACTTTATTTTAGCATTATACATTTTATTGTTATTTAGCTTCATTTTCAAGAGTGCAGCTTTTACTTCTCTGTAGATTTGAGGTTCAACGATGACGCTGTTCCAGTACATGTTTTTGCGGATGATTTTCAAAATAAAAACCCCATTGTCTTAAACACGATTTTAAACAAGAAGTACTACCTAATCAAGAAATTCTAGAACTACAAATTCTTAAAGAAGAAGTCAGCTGTTTAAAGAATAAAGTGTCTAACTTAAAAAATCAGCAAAGTAACAAACAAAAACTGCTTGTGGAACACGATAGAGGAAATTAATAATTTAAAACCTGAAATTTTATATCTAAATATCAAATTAATATGTTTGGAAAATTTGGAAACAATGTCAAGAACGCTCTAAATTTATCTAGATTCAGAAATTTGGTAACAAAAATCTGGAGAAAGTGTTAAAAATTAAATTTTGCTGTAGATACTCTAATTATCAAACTCTTTTAAAATATAATTATAACAAATTAAAACTGCTCCAGGTTTTACAAAAACACTTTATCAGTTTAATGACAGATTTTCAAGTTATTTTGGCCTGCAAAGGAATAGAAATATAATAATTGATAGTAGCAATATTTAATTTAATGTTAGACTCACTGGATGTGTATACATCGTGAGATATAGGCACACAATTATACACACATTCTTACGTTACTTTAAGTAAAACTGCTATAAACTATGCTCTGAAGAAAATATATTTTGAACATTATGTTTCATATACATACTCAGACGTTAAATGCACAGTGTAAAATATTTTCAATTTGTAATGACGTTCGTTATGAGTCCATGGTACGCAGTTCTTTCACCCTTACCTTTTACCCAACTTTCTTTATTCAATACAAAAAGTGGATTATTTTTCAACATTTTCAAACAAGATAGAATTTAATGTATCGCAGACAATGTTAAATTGGTTTTCCAGAAATTTTTTAACTCTTTTCTCCAAATATTTGTTAGTTAGAAATGCATATTATATTTAGAGTGTCTGTGGTTACAGACTTCTCCCGGTTTGAATTCTTCATTGTAAATTTACCATGGAATAAGTTCATGCTCTAGCTACACTAACCATTTTCCCCCAACCCATCAACCTTCTGTTTTGCGATTACACACATGTGTTATTCCTAACAATGAGTACATAGCCAAATTATTTTTCCATGTTTACACTATGTTTATCAATTCTTAACAAACATTCTTCTTAACAAAGAACTTCTGTGAACAGTTTACTATATGAATTAATGTAATTGACAACCATTTATTAACACTGTTCGTTACTCAACCATTCTTCATTCTGATTACAGACAAGAAGCAATGACCAGTCTAGTGATGGAAAAATCCTACGAAAACTGCAACAAATCGCCCAGGTATCCAGAAGTGCAACTCAGACAAAAGAGGTAAGTGGTGACTGTCATTTAATCGATCTAGTTCTAAAAGACAAACTGTAGTCCCACAGATACCAGCGAGACGCAGAGGAAAAAACGTGCCCGAAATCGCCTATCCAACAGGAGGAGTACGGGTTTTGTGTCTGAAGACCAAGTAAAAGCGGCAATGGAAATGGGGGCAGAAGGAGATAAACCAGATACTTCAAGTAACCAATGACGCGTGTCGCAAGAGTACCTAATAGGAAGATTTTCATAACAATTATTTATTGCGTATTTAGGTTAAGGTACCTATTAAAAAAATAATAATTTATTCCGTTGTAATATAAATAGTACAAATGTTAAGTTAATCCTACACTTTATTATGTTAATAAGGTTGTAGAGTTATCAAGTAGTTACAATTCAAGTAAAAAAAAGAATTATTAGTTACGTTGTTACTCAGTTTTATACGTGAACACTATGTATCGATGATTTTAACAAGAACATTTGTATGTGAATAAAACTATGAATGTTATTGTTGTCTCTCAATTATTTTATATTTAAATGATAAATGTTCAGTTTATTAATTAACCTTAAAAAATAAAAACGAAGTATTGTTTGTATGTCACAGCTCTAATACTATTGACTGAAAATTTCAAATTTGTTTTTAAAATATAAATATAGATTTTTTAGAAAAAAAAGACAGGTTAATAACACAGAGAAAAAAAATTGGTCTAAAGAGTTTAGACAGTACTTCCCTCGCTGTCGGAAACTTGACGACTGCATGCCTATTGTGTTTTTTTTCTCATTACATTTTTGTAGTGGGAATTTAAAAAAAAATTGCGATGACGTCATCAACATTTTTGCAAGGACACGTATATCAGTTGGGATAGATGTAGTGTAATACTAAGAATAAAATTATTATATTCTCAAATTTTCGGGAAAATGAATTGGGTCGTTTGAATATTGATTTGTAATAATCAATAAAATAACGAAACAATTTACTCACGTATACCTACGTATCAGAGGCAACTAAAAATCGTGTATGTATAAACATTGTTAATTTAAGATGACAGGCGTAACAGCATACGTGAGAGCCAAACACAGAAACTGTAAACAAAACGACCGTCGGTTTTATTGCTTCGACTTCCGCTTATTATATAAAACATTGGGTTTTATTTTAATTCTTGACGGTGAAATTCACAATTGGTTGATTATAAACATGTCTATTTCGCATTCGCGGAACCAAGTGACCGCATAAAACAAATGCAGATCTGTAACGTTAAAGTCGATGTAAATAAGCGTGCTACCCTTATGTTTCAACCGAGTTTTTCCTTTAACAAATTTTGTGTCTACTAAATTGGGTTGGTTGGGGTGTAATACTAATAATAAGTGTTGCCTTTAATTTAATCAATAAAATAAATTGACTTCATTAATTTTTTTGAACCACCTCTTAAGAAAATCTAAAAAATATGAATGGAATGATAAATCACAAGTACAAACTCATCATATTTTTTGCATTTTAGATAGGATTTATTCAGCAAAATTTAAGGGTGACGTCATCAATTTTTTTAGGAGGGATGAACAAATACATTTTGAACAAAAGTTTACCATGCTTATAATAACTTTAAAATATTCCCAAGATTTCAAAGCATTCGGTTTTGTAATTCCTGATTAAATCGATAAAATAAATTCACGCCTTCATTAATTTTTTTCAGTCACCCTGCATATGCAAATCCAAAAATATGAATGGAATGATAAATCACAAGTACAGACTCATCATATTTTGTACATTTTAGATGCGATTTATTCGGAAAACTTTTGAGCTGACGTCATCAGTTTTTTGTAGAAGATAACCAAATATATTTTGACTAAAAATTTATTATGCTCTTTATAACCTTAAAACATCTGCAAGATTTCAAAGCATTCGGTTTTGTAGTTCCTGATTAAATCAATAAAATAAATTAATAAATTTACGCATTCATTAATTTTTTTGAGTCACTCTGTATATGCAAATCCAAAAAATATGAATTGAGTGATAAATGACAAGTACAGGCTCATCATATTTTGTACATTTTAGATATGATTTATTCGGCAAACTTTCGAGCTGACGTCATCAAGTTTTTGGAGGGGATAAGCAAATATATTTTGACTAAACATTTATTATGCTCTTTATGACCTTAAAACATCTGCAAGATTTCAGAGCATTCGGTTTTGTAGTTTTTGATTAAATCAATAAAATATATTTACGCATTCATTAATTTTTTTGAGTCACCCTGTATATGCAAATCCAAAAAATATTAATGGAGTGATAGTTCACAAGTACAGACTCATCATATTTTGTACATTTTAGATATGATTTATTCCACAAACTTTTGAGCTGACGTCATCAAGTTTTTGGAGGGGATAAGCAAATATTTTTTGACTAAAGATTTATGATGCTCTTTATAGCCTTAAAACATCTGCAACATTTCAAAGCATTCTGGTTAGCAGATTAAAAATTAAATTTCAAAATGTTGTTTTATAATTTTGATTTTTTTTCCAAAAATCTGGACGTTTCGGGTGAAAAGTCGATTCAGAGTTGTAAACTACATGTGTAGGACTATGTTATTTTATACAATTAAAAACCCATTTACTATGTACAATTTTGAAGTGACGTCATCGCTTTAGTGGTGGGGATGATTCGACAAATTTTGGTTAGCGTTTTACCATCTACATGATATTCTTAATATAAGTACAAAATTTCACAACAATCGGTCGAGTACTTTCGGAGATTATCTGTCTAATAAAAATCCGTGACAACAGACGGACAGACGGACAGACGGACAGACGGACAGACGGACAGACGGACAGACGGACAGACGGACAGACGGACAGACGGACAGACGGACAGACGGACAGACGGACAGACGGACAGACGGACAGACAGACGGAAATGGGAGACCTATTTCTTCGTCTTCTAGGGGTCATGAAAGATCGAGAAAACGTAAAAGTAGAGAGTCGGCCGACGGACTCGATTACAATACTTCCTTTGCTTACGCTCGGGAAGTAAAAATTCTAAAAAAGGATTACTACCTAACACAATCCATTTTCGTCCTTTTATAAAAACTCTAATACGAAGTACTATTTTGTTTTCCAGACGAATTGCATGAACAGAGGAAAAATGCGACATTTTAAGGTCGCTTTTTGACTCCAAGTATTCCACAAATAGGACGCGTTTCAGATTTTGTTTTTCATAACCACCCTTTATTAAAATGCAAACAGTATTACTTCCGATGTAAGATCCTGAGCTTTTGTTCAAACTTTATTATGTTAATGTTTCATACGGTTGTGTTGCAGAAATGTTTTTCATAAAGGTTTTCATAACTCGATTTGTAGGTTACATGAACAACGTAATTTCGTGCAATATAAATACCAGAACACAATCTTTGTTCAGAATGATAAACATTTCGCTTTTACGTTCATTTAATGTGAAGTTCCATGGATATAATTTTATGTTAATTGTGTTTAGTTCTTGAGAGCTTGGTACTATTTCTTTTAAAGTATTAGACCTCTAATTGATTAGAGAAACTTGTTATTTTTTAATCTGATATGTACTTGAGTTTTTATAAATTGCGACATAGATATCAATAACAAGTTTAGTATATTTTTGAACACTATCTCCTTTCACTATTTCGTTAATTTTTCTTAGAAAACAATGCTGGATAATAATAATTGTTTTCCAGCATTATACGACTTATTTATCAGTGAACAGCTTAATTTGTTTTTTCGGAAATTTACTACAAGTTTAGAAATTAAGTTAAATCTAATTAAAATAATAAGTATATTCAAGTAAATAGCAATACAAATTAAAATCATGTGGGGACCGATGAAAATTAAAAATTGGCCTAAAGAAAGTTCTGTATTAACACTTAATAAATTCAAAAACTTCTTTCCCGATGTTACTGAAAGCATTATGTAATTCATATTTTCCTACGTGATATTTTTAGCAACTTTTTGTAAACTAATAAATATTTGTATAGACATAGTTGATAGTGTCTCTTATTAATTCCTTTTAAGATAATTTAATATCGCCAGTTACTCATAAACTGATAAACTTATAAATACATTTATGAAAGCTAATTTCCTGATCGTCTTAAAACAACTATGTTGACTCAGAACATAAGAAAGATAACCTGGATGGTACTATTAGGAATGACAGATTGATATCATTTCTTCGATAATGTCTATTAAAAAACATTGCTGAACACATCTTCAATTACCATTGACAGCGTGGGCAGAAACTTTTTCCTAACCCATTTTTTTGAATTTAAAAGAACTTTTGATTGCTTGTCCACTGTTATAGATTACATTTGAGGTTAATTGTAGACATAGTTCACAAGGTTTACAAAAGTTCACCTCAAAATTTTGTTTTATAAATGATGTTGAAATTTTATAAAATAGAATACTCATGCACTTGTCGTTTATGAATGCGCCTTAAGTGTTTATTCTATGAATCCAAAATTTATCAAAAAAATGTCAAGTACGCATGGCCTACTTTGTTTTATACGGTGGCTGGTGTTATGTGCATTTTGTAACTTATAGGGGATATCATAAAATAAATAAAATTTCGCAAAATCAAATTTAATCATCTTTCGAAAAAACTGGATATGTTTTATTATTATTATACTTCACGGGCTAGGGAAATTCTGTCTACATAACCTTAGATCAGTTTTTTAATAACATTAAGATGTAAATTTAAAATCAGAGGTGACTTATAAAAAAAATCGTTAATTAGCTTAGCCTTCTCTCGCGAAGTAAAAACAAATCGGTTTAATATCTTTTCCAATTAGAGCCGCTAACAATGACACAATTTCTAGACGGAAGTGATTACACGAGTACCATTTACTATGAAATCACCTCCGATTCGACACGACTCCCTGAATTTGGTTATACTGAAACTCCGGGCACGATCAATCCGCTCTAGAATAAAAGAACTAAAGCCCCGGAGTCGCACTTATGAAATATTCCGGAGCCCGGCGGCCGTAAATTCTCCGGGTTAACCCTGTATACTAAATAAAAGTATTTTAAGATAAATTTTACAACTGTGCCACTGTCTCAATCGGCATTTGCTTCACATCATGCCAATTCAGGCATTTCCACGAAAACACCCAAATCTTTTTAAGTTTTTTCGTTATCTCAACTCCATGAATTATTCACAGGGATGCTCATTAAGCAGCTAATGAAACATTGTCCATTTTCAGCGCAAATAATAATCAGTTTGCATCATTATCATTAATTTTTCGTGGTGACTTTCATTAAAATTTATTGTTGATCCGTTTTAGTTTGTGTGTGATTCTGTGCTGGAAATGGCCGCTGGCAGTGTAAACATGCATTTAAATGTTTACAGATCGGTTGTGCAGTATTAGAGTAATAATTTAATTTTGTAGTTAAGCGGCTTTGGAGGGATGCCGACGGATGCATTTTTCATGGTATTGCAGGAAATGGTGGGTTTAAACTTTGCTTCGAAAAGCTATGCAAGATTTATTCGGATTT